ACACCGAATGTGGTCCCCTTGTCAGCTTTCACAACTGGTGGAGCACAGGCTGGCTGCGCCAAGCCTAGCCTACTAAGCGTTAACTCACCTTCAACGAATCGACAATCTCCTTTCTTGATGGCAAGGCATTTGACGGCCTTTTGTTCAGTTCGGCTAACTTATCTGCATGTGCTGTACGTAATGCAAAGTACTGCTTCTGCAAAAAATGGCAATCACTGTTGGCAAAAAAAATTAATTAGTAAATGGGGATCGACTGCGTTTTTGCTAGTTTTTTTAGAAGCGGTGTACAATCCCAAAATGAGGTCAGAAGAGAGCTCAGCTTGGAGTGGTGGATAGCGGAACCTTTGCTACAGTTCATCTAGTTATTTCCTAGTTGCAGTTATGCTGCTTCAGAACCTAAGAACTGGTGGAGAGTCCCAAACCCATTTTTGTGAAGGCCTGCTTCCCCTTCACGCTAGAGCTAGGTATTTCTCAGAACAAACGAGCTGTTAGTAAACAAGATCCTTGTAAGCCTCATTAGAACAGGATAACACTGATTACATGAACGCAGCCAAATGAGATAGCTCAAACAAGGAATAGTCGTGATTACCCAAATCTTACTGCTAGCTGCAGACCCACACCACCAAACGTGCAGCCATGTAGTCCAACTGTGTAAAGCGCTGTGGCTGAGAAAGCTCCTGTTTGTGCACCTGCTGGCTCCCACAAGTCGTACTTAGAAGGCTTACTTATGCGTCACTTCGGATGGGAAGAGTTTTAGTAGCTGTCTCTTCGGTTGACAGTAACAATGCCTTCCTACTGACAGGCCTATGCTCACATTATCAAGATGCCCTTAGCCCGAGAGTTCATACCCGCCTCACAGATAGGAAGAGCAACCACCAGGAGTCGACCACAGAGAATGCACACACTTCAATAGGTAACGCAAACGTGCCCTTCCTTGGTGCATATTTCCTTTGACGGTTGCAGCTCAGGACATCCGCTTGGCACCAACGCAGAGGAACCAGCTCGTTGTGGCGAATTTCCTTACTAGCTTACAGTTCAATGTAGCGTTTTCTCGAGAACTAGATTACGTTCTGATGCGATGATACCTACTCGGGTTGTAGCGGCATTTTCACCGTTCTACCGCAATTCGGATCTTCTGGCCCGCAGAGCGACTCGCTGATTCTGCTATCCGGTGCAACGTCAGAATGCACTTTCAAGATGAACATTAAGAGACGAGGATAAAAAGCTATAGGGTTTATCAATCGAACTAGTGGTAGCTAACGAATCACATAACGAAAGACTATTTCAGTCGAAAACATGCAAGATTCATGAGATCGCATTTTGCCAAACTTCTACCGAAACCGGTTGCCCAGAATAGTTCTCCACAACTTAGGTGAACCTCAATCGCGCTGCTACCTGATGCTGTTCAGACCACCTATGCTGTTTTCATTAAAGGGTGACATGTACTCACCAATAAGCTATTTTGGAGCATGCTATCAAGGTAAGAGGGAGCGAACAAGCAGACATGATGCGGCTCGCAGGAGACTGGTCCTCCGAGATACTTGAGTTAGACAGAGGAACGGTACAGCGCTAGTGCTGACTAGTGAACGATTGATTCTTACTGTCGTTTCTGCACGAGTACATATCTTAACGTATTACGATCTTGGTCTTGTGGTGAATGGTGGGCGAAAAAGTGCGAGACTAGGCGGGGACGGGCAAGAGAATCGTAATTTGCCGCTCCGCCGCGCGCGGCGATGGGCGCGGCGTTTTCTTAACTCGTGTTAACCTGTCGATTGGAGCACCGGACTTCATGTAGACCCCGTCATTCATGACTATTTTCGGTTCTGAATTGCCTGTTGTCGCCATCTACTACCTGGAACCATCGTCATTTGCGGGCGCGACGTCGCACGCGACGCCCACCAGCGCGGTGAATTACGATTCTCTTGTCACATACTCCGTCTAGTCGCCCTCATTCTCTTTTAGTCTGCGCCCTCACCGATTTCAAGCAAACGCACTGAGCACAATCTCACTGATTGTGAGACGCAGACAATAGAAAAAGGTGTGATCATGCTTTGCTGCCAACTGCCCCCCCCCCACCCCTTTCCTTGCCCCAACAGATAATTCATTTGAAAAGTGAGGATGGCTCCACCAACCGCTTTCCAAACTCCCTCATACTTTTGCAACCAAGCTCTTTCGCTTCATATTTCACTCCAGAGGTAGCCACACTCACGCCTCTTTCGTCATCGTCTACATTCTCAATACTGTTCCAGTTACTGTGCCCCCATACCATGCCAACAATTTGATACTCTTTCAAATCGTATAATATTGTACGCACAACTTTGCTGCCAGGAAAAACATCGCCGTGACATACATTGCCACTTGGTTCAATGCGTGTGCGTCCGGCATCCAAACGAATGGCATTAGCCAAGCAGAAAACGGCCTCACCATCTGTCTCTTGAAGCGTTTTTCATTACCAACATCAAGCGAGTAGTATGTGGCGGCAGCTATGCCCACCACCGCACCGGCTCTCGCCAGTCGAGAAGAGAACATCCTGAGAAATGGACCTGAATGAACAGCGCTCACTCAACTGCTATGTTTACATGAAGCACTCGTTCAATCTCGAAATAATGAAAAGAGTTTCAGAGGAAATGAAGCGGTCGTTTCTCGAGCTCTAGCTTCATTTACTGGTAGGCAGAGATGATAGCAAGTGATATAACGCCATAAGGAGCTACAAAAATTCATCTAACACCGTAATAACCTCTCTGCATAATAAATAAGAACAAATAAACAGAAGTAAAAAGCGGGAAAGCCATGAAAAAATAAGAAACAGTTGTCACAGTATGATGAGTTATGGGCTAGGATCTTGACCCCAGGCGAGGCTGGATCCTACACCTTACGCTTACCAGGCGAGAGCACCATCCGTTACACCAGATTAATGTTTGATGACACGAGGCTCAAGAAAGTTTGTTCTAAAGAGCTCAAAAGATTCAAATGATCCAGAATTCTTGGTAATTTTTGACAGTAATAATAATAACGATGTTAACAATCGATGTAATTTTGGAGTTTCACGCTGCTGTTGAACTTCACATCATCATGAGGCATCGTGAAAGCGAACAAATATAGTACTAAAAATAGGAATCAATAGAGGTATCAACGGTGAAGAATAACTTGTAAATGAACATACATGTAAAGTTTGATTTTTGAGCTACTATAGCCCTGAGGATAAGTCCACCATTGGTCAGTCAGCGCAACGATAGTAACGCCGCGCATAACTTATCTACGGCGGACTTATCTACGAATTCCAGGGTAAATTTCATCTACGGAACAAACAAGACCAATGAAAAGGAAGACTTAAGAATGATATTTTGGCCATGATCAAAAACCATAATAGCCATGAAGATTTTATAACAGCAGAGATAAGTTAACATGAAATTGTGGAACTCTCGCCTGACATCGCCTTTTTCGTTGCCTGGAGTTCAGCTCGTTCTTCACCGGTTGGAGGGCTGTGCAGGCCCTACCAGAAGCTCAAGAACATTCCATGTTCCAGAGATGGCGAGGGCAT